TTCACGTTGTTGTAGTTTCCTTAGTTGATCTAGTTTCTTATTGTGTGTAGACGTCTTTTCTTGATTCAACAATGTTTAATTAACTATTGTTATTATTTTGCAAACTTTGCATATTAAAAACTAAAATGCCATCAGCATTTTCTTTATTCTAATCTTGATTTTTAATTGCTAGCATCAGTTACCTACCATATTACTGTTTTTGTTCAAGTTTAAAAATCCAAAAAACAGGAATAGTTTGTTTTATTTATATAAAAATATCAAACCAAAATCTAAAAAAAAATCTTTAAACTGCATCAACACCTTTCACTTTGTCCTGTTATTCATTTTTTTAGATAGGTAGAAACAAGTTTCTATTTAAGTAAGTGTAATTATAAAAAGTGTATTTTTTGTTTGTTTATATGTGTGAAAATCTAGGAAGATCTGTTTCAACAGCCAGGATTACATCAAGAGATCCAACAAGTTCTAGAAAAGCTAGATACTGGAAAACCAGAACATATGCGTATCCTTAAACAGACGTTTTTTAAGTGTAAGTTGTGCGTCTTTGAGTTGTTGTACCATGGATAAAAATATATATATGTGTTTTTACTGCAAGACATGTACTGTTAATGCTCATATAATACTCATCTGAATTGACCTAACATGCTACAAATAGTTTTTGTTAAAATTTTGTTTATATTGTAGGTTATGTTCATGTATCTCTCGACTAATATAATAGTGAATGCAAATACAGTTTTGGTGTAACAGTAATTCAAGCACTTATTTAAATTGATGTGATATGTCTACAAATAAAGTTTCACTTTGATATAAATGCAAGTTCATATTGTTCTGAGACTTCATGTAAAATTACTACAAAGATAATTTTGCATTAGTTTAAATTATAAATCATACAATTCTTGGGTTTATGTAAGATGTCTGCAAATACATTTATTGGTAAATGTGTAAATGGTAAGCCATGTAGTACTCCAAATTGATGTAACATCACCCGACCACTAGGAAAAAAAAAACATTCTCAACTAGATTCAAGAATTAGGTGTATATAATAATCAGAACTGGCCCAAACTGACATATAAATGTCTTTCACTCAATTGTTTTACAATGTCTTTAATGATTTCTCAGCTTAATTATTACATCAGTGGGGTGGACTACTATATTTAATGTTAGATTATTAAAGTAAGAATACAAAGCTTTACATTGTTGTTAGTGCTTATATGTTTTCTTCCAAGGAAGAAATAACTGTTGTTATAACATACAAAGATATTATGATATCTACATGATTATATCACATGCTCTGTCTGGTTTTAAGGAAGGAGGGTGGTGAAATCTCTACAGTACACGGGTCTCCAGAATTCCCTCTCGTTAGACCTAATAATCAGATATTGTTAGAGTGTGGTTGTTTTATTCCACTTTTCACTCTATAATGGTTATTGGTCTGCTACTGGTTTGCTTTGAGGCTTGGCTCCCCTAGGATTGATGAAACAGTGGTTGCTGATACTCCCACTGTGACCAGTATGTCCAGTGGAAGCTAGAATTCCTGTGGGCCAGTATGGCCACTGTGGGTTGCTTGGCCCCGGGAGCCTTCAGGGCCAACCTTACAGTGGACCCAGTCCCTTGTATGATGTATTGGCAAGCAATGCATTTTGATCCATAGGCTCGGCTACAGTGAAAGCCAGGACGACCTGAGGAGTCCGAGGTTCAACTTCTTAGTAATCTCCTATGCTATATAGTCTTGGGCACACTGGTTTTCATTGAATTAGTAGCCCGTTATGCAGTTTACAAAATATTTTGGGAATTCTGCAACAAAAAGGATGGCTCATCTTAAATAGCAAATGTCTGAATTAAAAACTTAAGGTCAGGTGAATTCTAATTGGTCCAAAGTTCATCCAAACGTATAGATTAAAAGGGTTGTAACTGCTTAGTTGCAACCGTGATCTGTCATAGAATCCTTTAGAGACAGGGTCATAACACTGTACATTGGTCATGTGACACTACTGTGGGCTAAATGTGTACATTATGCCCTATATCACTGTAGGAGATGTATTCCTAATGCCTGGGAACTTCTGATTCTCATCCTTCATTGTGTTTTCACTTGACCGATACTTTTAGCCATACTTCCATTTTTCATTTTTAAAAAACAACAGCCAACAATATTTACTGTCCAACCTGGCCTCATTCCTCTTCATGTCATCTAGTTATCACATAGATAGAGTCAAGTTCTAGCAGGAAGGAATGGGTGTCAAAATTGCAAAACTGGTTCTTACACACACACACGAGCACATTCAGGTTGGGTGGTGCCTTACCTTATTTTTGACCATTAAAATCCATTAACATTTACATAGTCTCTCTGTAGGGATCTTCGTCCAGTTACAAATTTAGTACTAGCTTTGGTGTGACTTACAGAGTTTCACCACATGGTGGTGCTATCTACCCTCTAGTACACTAACAGCTTACATTTTCTTGCATTATAATGGCATCTTGTATTGAAACAGTATTAAGAAAATATTCATAAAACTGTGTACTTATTGAAATATTTCAAGATGCATGATTAAAATATTTTTCACAATTAAATAAAACACTGAATACACAAAGTTTATGATTTTTATGATACATAAGCTACCATCTTATTAATTTCATTTACTGCTGATAACTTCACCACACTTATAAATATTTCAATTCAATCCAGTTGAAATATCTTGTACAACTCTTATCGAAAAAAGACCATGTAAAACTATGTTTTCTCTAAGACTTGTGCAAGTTTTTCTTTTACTCTTATCCTTCTATGAGAACTCATTACCCACCAAATATTTCACTGTCAAAATGTACACAAAAATCAGGTTTGTTTTATTAAAGACTTCTCTAAATTTCTGAAACATTTTACCGATTTCCTTAGTGAAAGGTAATTCTCGTGCTAAGAATAAAAATACTTGTTTTCGTGTTACTTTTTTTATGTTTCATTTGCATAATCTCTAGAACTTCTAAAATTAATATCAGATGTGCTTTTTCAGTACAATTTTATATTATATCTCTTGTTTCCTCCACTATAACTCTAACAGTATACTTGATTTTTTGTGTAAAAAATCATCAATATGCAGTTTAAAAATATGAAACAAAATAATACCATTCTTTCATTTAAAGTGATTCAAGTATTCTCTAGAAAGCATCATGTTACTTATCTTAAAAGCTTCAAGTAAGCTGTTAACCTTTTCACACCTGTTTTGTTTTATGGTTTTATTGCAGTACTTTGTACCCACTGGGGCAGTAATTCTCATGTCCAAAGCAGTAAATCACAATGGAAGCCACTGAGTGTTTCCAGTGCTGGTAGTGTAAACAAGCTCAAGCTAGGGGGATTTTAGAGCCTTGTTTTATTTTAGTTTTATTAAGCTAAGTTAAATAACTTTTAATTATTTTTGTTAAAAAATATATAACAGTAAATAGAAAATATACACGAAAACAGGGGTTTGTAGTATCCACTGTGTACTCAAGCCTTTTACTCTCAAGTAAATATCCCTAAGTCTTATTGAGTCTCACAAATTCGGTGTCCAAAAATAATTCATGTAGCTTTGAAATATGCATTTTAGAATACAAATAATATATCAGTCATTAGTCGAGAATGTCCCAAGATTACTATAATTTATCCAGCTCTCTAACTAAGCTATAAATATGGAACAAAAATTATATTATTATTTGTAGCAGCAAAATGTAATCACCTCAAACCTAGAAAATCTTCTAACTAATGGCTTATACAACTCAGAACTCAATTGACTGCTGAAATTAGCTTTCTGATTTTTGTGGATTTTTTCCAGTTATCCAAATCATGCTATCCAGTGCTCCCCCAATATATCAGTTAAAGAACTGTGCCAGTGTGTCAACCAATGGCTAAACCTCGGCCTACTATATGAAGTAGTCATTTGACTGATGACCTCTCTTAGTCTTTGGGGATGTATCACCAATATCCCAATTTATCATCTTTATAGGAAAACCAGTAATTTTCTGCTGGAGTTTACCTTGCTTCGGATGGTTGTTTCTCTGAGCAGTATACAGTATTACCACCTGCACTAAAAATCCTGACCCAAATGTGGCCAAAAGAACTGCTATCAAATTTTAACCTTTTTGTTATGCAAAGTTTGGGGAATCTCTTGATTTGGAATTTTGGGGACCACTAGCTGCAGCACAGTCTTGGAACCAAGACTTGATGGTTGGTAGCAATGGTACACAAATAACTGAGATCAGGAACATTTCTTTTGTTATCTGAAGTAGTAATACACCCATTAGATTAACCATTACATTTATACTGCTTGTTTTTAACATGGAGTAGTAATACATCCATCAGGTTAACCATTACAGTTATACTACTTGTTTTTAACATGAAGTAGTAATACTCTCATCAGGTTAACCATTACAGTTTTACTACTTGTTTTTAACATGAAGTAGTAATACACTCATTAGGTTAACCATTACAGTTATACTACTTGTTTTTAACATGAAGTAGTAATACACTCATTAGGTTAACCATTACAGTTTTACTACTTGTTTTTAACATGAAGTAGTAATACACCCATTAGGTTAACCATTACAGTTATACTACTTGTTTTTAACATGAAGTAGTAATACTCTCATCAGGTAAACCATTACAGTTATACTACTTATTTTTAACATGAAGTAGTAATACACTCATTAGGTTAACCATTACAGTTATACTACTTGTTTTTAACATGGAGTAGTAATACATCCATCAGGTTAACCATTACAGTTATACTACTTGTTTTTAACATGAAGTAGTAATACACTCATCAGGTTAACCATTACAGTTATACTACTTGTTTTTAACATGAAGTAGTAATACATCCATCAGGTTAACCATTACAGTTATACTACTTGTTTTTAACATGAAGTAGTAATACACTCATCAGGTTAACCATTACAGTTATACTACTTGTTTTTAACATGAAGTAGTAATACACTCATCAGGTTAATAATTACAGTTATACTACTTGTTTTTAACATGTATAGTTAATATTTAGATGTATCCAAGTCTATTCAACCAAGGTAGCACAAAAGAAAGATATCAGAATATCACCTCTTTAATTTCAGAAAACTCAACTTTAAATAATCTTTGTCCATCTACAGTGTACATTTAGCACAAAAGAAAGATCAAAATATCACCTCTTGACCTTCTAAAACTCATCTGTATATAATCTTTCCCCATCTACAGTGTACATCATGTAATCAATCCCCCTTAACTTAAAATAACATTTAGGGATAACATGGGACCTATTGGTTCATCTTGGCTATTCCATTCTCTAAACTATTAATAAATAAATTTCAAAACAAATCTTAAAGCCAGCTCTTATCATTCATATATTTTTCAAGCTTTCTCATAAATTCACTTAAATTTACTACCTTCACAACATCTGAAGGCAACCCATTCCAATGACCAACCACCCTGTTAGAAAAATCAAACTGTCTTAGCTGAAGATGACTCCTAACCTGTCAATTTATATT